TGTCCATGTGTCCTTTATACATGTTCCTGAAAACTTCACCCTTTTCCCCCCATTATCCCCTCCCACCTCCCTCTGGTTATTGTCCATTTGTTCTCAAGTTCAATGTCTCTGGTTATATTTTGTTTGCTTATTTGTTTTGTTGATTAGGTGCCAGTTAAAGGTGAGATCATATGGTATTTTTCCCCCACTACCTGGCTTATTTCATTTAGCATAATGTTGTCTGGTTCCATCCACACTGTTGCAAAGGGTAGGAGCTCCTTCTTTCTCCCTGCTGTGTAGTCTTCAATTGTGTAAATGTACCACAGTTTTTGGATCCACTTATTTACTGATGGACACTTAGGTTGCCTCCAGCACTTGGCTATTGTAAATTGTGCTGCTGTGAACATTGAGGTGCATAGGTTTCTTTGGATTAGTGTTTCAGGGCTTAGAGTATAATCCCAGCAGTGGAATTGCCGGGTCAAAAGGCAATTCCATTTTTAGTTTTCTAAGGAAATTCCACACTGTTTTCCACAGTGGCTGCATCAGTGTGCAATCCCACCAACAGTGCACTAGGGTTCCCTTTTCTCCACATCCTCTCCAACACTTGTTTGTTGCTTTGTTTATGTTGGTCATTCTGACTGGCGTGAAGTGGTATCTCATTGTGGTTTTAATCTGCGTCTCTCTAAAGGCTAGTGATGCTGAGCATCTTTTCATATGTTTCTGGGCCCTCTGTATGTCCTCCTTGGAGAAGTATCTGTTCTAGTCTTTTGAATTGGGCAATCTTTTAATAAAAATCTTTTTTTTCCACAAATTTTTGTGTTATCCTTGTGTTTGGTGGCAGGCAGCCGAATCTGACTCTGTTTAGTAGCAGTATTAGATGTAGCCTACCCTGAAATCATCTTCTTTGAATACAGTTGGAGCTCAGTTGCAGCTGTGTCATTTCCTATCGCTCTAAGAAAAACAAAAATGTTGTTTTAAGATCAAAGAAAAATACAAACTTAGGAAAAATGGGTATGGTTGGAAAGCATAATTTTAGAAATGTAAATATTGATCTCAAACAATCAATAAAGAGTTCATATACTAGATTCTGCCATAGACTAGTTATATATTTTTATGTGTATAAATAAGTATATTTTTATACGAGATGATGAATATAAGCATATTAGCCTTAGTGAATGAAGAGCAGGTTGTGTCCAAAACATAGCATCTCGCTCTGGTTAACTGTCTCAAAATGCTGTTTTTGATCTTTCTTTCAGGAAGAAATATATCTGATGTCAGCAAAGTTGATGTTTCTACAACTAATGAATTTCAAAGTATGCAGCCTACCATAGAGCAACTGAAAGGTTTTAAGACATTTTTCCTGTTGAATATCAGAACTCACAAATACATTTCTAAACCTACTTTATAATGCCTTGAGTCCTTATCAACACTGACACTAAGTGGTCCCAGATACCAATATCATAAACAAGTAAGAGTAATCTCATATTCTGAGCAATAACACAATGCTGTGCAATTCACGCTTCATAGGATTTTTAAAAATAGACAATTTTGGCTCCACAGCCTTCATTTGAAGCATCTTACAAATGTGTGTCATTTCTGCAATCAGGGAGACCGTGGCTGGCCAACAAGCCGAGGCTGTGGACAGAGGTGTTCAGGGATGTGAATGCAATCAGACCAGTTAGGAGCAAGGACCTTGTCGGTTCCAGTGGGCTCCACACCGAATGGAGAAAATTGAGTGATCAGAATCCTACGTAGTGCTCATTGGCACTGAGTACTTGTAAACCTTCTATAATAGTAATGTGGTAGTAATGTTACCCAAAATGTCTATTTTTAAAATCATTAATAATAATAACTAAGATTAATGGCTAACTATGTGTAGTTAACTGTTACACATTTACAAATATAAATTCATTTGATTCTCACAGCAATTCTATAATATGAGTATGCTGTTATTTCACGATGTGATGGGTAATATAAGCCAAGAGATAGGAGGAGATTGTTCAGGGTCACACATCACGTAAATTGAATAGCCAGAATTTTAGTCCTGGCTTAGGATCCTGCCTTCTACGCGTTGTGGTAAACAAATATGTTGTGAAACAATTAGTGCTTGTCTAAAACCATGAAAGTTAATCCTCACATCATCATTACCACCATCATTTAAATATTGGGTAGACTTGAGTTTAAATAATGGTTCTACTCTTTATAAGCAATGTCCCCAGCATCAAATCTCTTGACTTCCTTGAGTCTCATAATATTAATATGTAAAATTGTACAATACTTATTTTGTAGGGTTATTGTCCATAATATATGTAAATGATGTATATAAACCACTAACTCAGCTTACTGGCACATAGCAGTACTCAAGAAAGGGTATCTTTCTTACAAGTATGATAATGAGAGCAAGAAATGCATCTTAATTTACATTACATTGAATGTTTGCTAAGTGGTTAAGTAGATACAAGTCGGACCACAACTAAGTTACATAAATTCCAGTTAGTGCAGTGCGAACACATGAGAGTGAATAAAAATGAGTTGGAATCACAGAGATGAAAACAGGGTCTTACAAAACCATCTAGTTCAACCCTATGCCTTTGCGCAAGAGAAAATATGTTCTCTGACCAAGAAGTCAACCATTACATTTCAGAGAAAAATTCTAATCTTTCAAGAGGCACTTGAATTGAACTTCTGGTCTTTGAAACAGGCTTTTTAACCCTTAATTAGCAAACGAGTTCTGTTTTAAAGATCAGCATTGTGTTAGAAAACAGAAGGTAAACATACGTGGCTATCCGAATCATGAATATGTATTTTCTCTGACCAGCACATTACAGAATAAGTAATTATTTTCTAATTTCAAGGTTCCTATTCTTTTAGTAATTTAGAATTCAGACTTCAAGCCAATCTAGGAAAGCCAGGTTTCTGTTCATTACAAACGATTCATCTTAATTAGCCGGAAAAACTGTTCTAACAAGAAATAAATTATTGAGCACAGAAAGCAAGTTTCGTGAAATGCTTAATGTTGGTTTAAAATCCCTTTCAAAACAAATGGTAGCTGAGGAGGCAGAAGGTTAGAAAAGGAACTTTTGTTGCTGGATTGATTTCAGATCTGTCTCTGGTTGCATGCAGGTGTAGCAGTGTTTACTTAAAATTTTATTGTAATAGATCACATCATTAGAATCACAGTGGTAATCAATGCTCATTAGGGACACAACAAAAATTCTGTGATTATAGACCATTTGTTTCATCAGAATAGGATCATTTATTTATTACCGGGTAAATTGTTACAAATTGCTCCTCTTCGGAGCAGTAGGAGTACAGAATCTATGAACTTGGATACTGAGGCAGAAAACTCCTTTCCTGGGTGAAACTATAGAAATTCAAGGGGAAGGCTGAGTAGGCACTTGTAAGAAAGGGAGGCTGTGTTTATCCCCACACAGCCCTGCTCTGTGAGTTGATGGTACCAGCTCTGGACGTGCTTCTGCCCAAATCCACTCAGCTCTTTAGTTTTCCCAAATTAGACAGTTCCGGGCATGTCAAGGTGCCCTTGGTCTTCATTGCAAACCGTTGCAAACAGACTGGGCACTGCTCTATTCTGTTTCTGGGATTCCTTAAGGCTCTGTAAGCTACTCGGCTGTGTCGCAGAAAGGGAGCGTGAGGCATTGCAATGGCTTCATCTTTTTTTATCTGTTTTTTGTTTTTAAAGCAAAACAAAAGGTCAAACCTATTCTCCAGCTGAGAGTGGGTGAGTCAGGCAGAGACTGAAAGAGTGGGCATTTCAGATGAAAAGAGCTTCTTCCTTAAACTGGAACTCCCTTTCTAAGCATCTAATTAAAATAAACACTGTAAGCCGCACTTTGCAGCCCTGGGCTGGGTCCTCCTACTGCCCATTCGAATTCCAAACAGTCAGCACACACCTGTATTTTCCGAGACAGATCCAAGTGCTCTAGTGTGAAACTGTTTTGGGCTCACCGTGAAGCCCAAAGCACTGGCCCCAGGAAAATCTCTGTGCTGCAAGGGGAAGGCTTGTTAGTGGAATTCTCATCCAGAGTTGCTCTTAGAGGGTTGCCTCAGCTGATCAGACAGGATGAGTCAGATGACCTGACGAAAGAGAAGGGAAATTCCGCCACCCACCTCTTGAAAGTCCATTGGAAAGGTCAAATGCTCTCTGGGGCTCGCTGGCCCTGCAGTCAAGGTCAGAGCTACATTCATATTTTGCCTTGCAGCTCACTGAGATGCAAAAAAGGCAAGGCAAAGTGGGAATATCACTCCTTTTTCCTTGTGTACAGCATCCATGTGTCTCAATACTCTCCTATCCAAAGAAAGGAAAGTTGTCCAGGAATAGCAAGTATGGCCAGCCACTCCTGTCCCCAGGAAACCTAACCCTGTGATCCCTGAGGTCAGGCAAGAATGAGAGTGTGGTTTGGTGGGGGAGGGGCGGATTAAAGTAACAGTAGTCAGGAGGAAATAAGCCAAAGACCTCTGCTTGCTCTCACTTCTCAGCCCACGCATCTGTCCTGTTACCAAATGGCCCCACGACAAGTTAAACATGCAGCCAGACATATGAAAATTTGGTTTATGCAAAACCAAAATCTAAAAAGAGCACACATTTCTTTTTTCTTTCAGACACTTAATCTGAAAAGTTTCAAGTTTATCTCCTTGTCCCCAGGTCCAGTTTAAGGTGGACAAACCCATTGATTACGAGGTTCTGCACCGGTGGGAGCTGGCTGGGATTGGAATTCCACTCACTGCTGCTCCCACCTCCTTACTTAACCTTATTTAACACAATTCAGCCTCCAAACCACAGTTTCCTGCTCAATGAAACGAAGGTTACAGTAGTAACTGTGTGTGAAGGAGAAACAGAATTCAATAATACGATGTATAGAAGCCTCCTACACAGCACACAATTAGCCCTCAATCAATGTTACTTTGCGTAAGAACAGAAAATTAAAAATGTCTTTTTAACTGAGAGTTTAATGATTAACTTCATGGTTGTTTTTCTCGATGTAACATAACCCTGTAGAAGAACCAGGAAACAGAAGAGAGGTTCTGTCCCCCCGTTGCAGGACTCTGGTTTGGTTCGTATTTTGGCATAATTTTTCCAGGATGTTTTCCTCCATGCCTTTTCGAAAACAAGTAAATGCATCAAAAGGTATGTAACACTTGGTATCAGTTTTATAGGCAACTGTATCATGAGCATTTTTCTCTGCACAACATAACTGTAGTCACTACATCCTCAATAGCTGTCTTATGTGCCACTGGGTGGGTCATGTCGTGTACCCTTAATCACCCCCTCTTGTTGTCCCAGTAAGTTCTTTTCAGTGCTTACGAATAAAAAGAAGAGTCTATAGTTAATTTTTTTCTGCAGATAGCTTTCCCCTTAGCATTTCCCTAGTTCTTACATTTATCTTTATATTTGTTAGGTAAATTGGCAGAAAAGGGGTTACCTGAGCAATGGGCACAAGCATTTGTAAGGCTTTTTTTAAAAAAACTATTTCTTTTTTCTCTTTTTAAAGATTTTATTTATTTATTTTTAGAGAGGAGAAGGAGGGAGAACGAGAGGGAGAGAAACATCAGTGTGTGGTTGCCTCTTGAGCACCCCCTACTGGGGCATGTGCAACCCAGGCATGTGCCCTGATTGGGAATTAAACTGCGACCCTTTGGTGCTCAGTCCACTGACCCACACCAGCCAGAACGCATTTTCAAGGCTTTTGATGGTTGTTACCAGGCTGTGTCCCGAGTCAGCGCTGAAGCCGCTATGAAAACATCAGTTGTGCACTTTCTGGCTTTCCACCACTCTTAATTCAGGCTTTAACCAAGAGGCATGTCCATGTCAATCAACATCTTCGCCCTAATTATTTACCTGCCTTGGTTTATCTGTCTTCATTCAAAGTCAATTTGAGAACATTATTAAGTATTTATTAAGTTAAAAATCCTCAATATAAGAAGTAAATATTGGAGAACCTATTAGGATCAAGGCCTAATCTTAACTGGCGTACAACATGATGGCTTTATGTAGATACTGTTTTGTTTTATTTAATATGATGCACTCAGTGTATACCAAATGACCCTCCTAACAGCAGGTAAGATAGCTGTTGAAAACGGCGAGTACCATTATGTAACACAGAGGAAAAAGCTCATGATACAGTTGTCCATAAAACTTATACAAAGTGGTGCAAACATTTTGGTACTTTTATCTATTTATTTTTCCTCTCAGTATGAGCTTGTCTATCTCAAGTTCCACATTACTGGGCCAACTTTAACTTGGAGTTTTCTGTGAGACCAAGTTCATGTGACTGGATATAATAAATCCCCAGAGATTTATTTTGGCCTTGGGAAAAAATTAGTAATGGATCACATAAAGCTGCTTTGCTCGAATGGATGTAGAGTTTCCACAACCTCCCCTACCAATCTTGGGGTTTGGATACCCCCGGTTGTTGCTTTTACTTGGTATGTGCTCATCATGGTCTAACTCTAGTCTTCAGTGCTCAATCCACTGAGCCACAGCAACCAGGGCATTGCCTCATATTTTCAGAAAACCTTTGTCCACTATAATTGCATTTACTCAGTTAAGAATTAAAAATTTTATTAGTCCGTTGATTTTTCTCAACTTCACTATTATGGATAATTTACTGCTTAAGGTGATTTTTAGATTCTGAATAATATATTCATTTAAGCATTTTTAGAGCCTGTAAAGCTTTATCCCACAAATAAATGTGGTGGTGATTATGTATGTGACCCGGAGCACTGACTGTCCAGTCCTTCTTCAAACACACACACAAGAGCCAGCGGCACCAGCGATACTGTGTGTTGCCTTTTCCTGCACACACAGCATCTGCTCCATGTGACTCTGCTGTGCCATAAGGGAGCCAGCCCAAGCCAAGCACCTCAAATCCCAGATTCGGGGGTCCCACGAGGTCCACTCTGCAGTGGCAGTGTTTTCTCTGCATCCACCCTTACTTGTTCCCTAACTTCTTCTAACCCTTTCAGTTCTCATCCTGATCTTCCCCACTCTGCACTCCCACCTCTGTGACTCCAGTCGTGATTCCTGACCCTGTGCTCACGGCTTAGAATTGACCTCTGTCATTTTTGGGTAGCTTGCCTCCTGCGTGTCTGTCTCTGGTAGAAATCCACAGCTTAGGTGTGGAAATCCACATTTCTCAGCTCCTTCAAAGAGATCGTCTCTTCTTCTCCATGCACAAGCGTCTTATCTGTGCATCTACTATTAAACCTAATACTTTCTACCACGTATTCAATATAGTTATTAATGTACCTGTCATAACCCCAGCTGTCCGAGGTCCCCTGTAACAGCTAATGCAGAGTTCTCCTCATAAAAAAGTGTATTTCCAGATGATTGATTGAAATATTTATTATGACTTCTTTTATTGGATTGGTTCTTTAATAGTTCCTTTCTGTTATTGTTACTTTATGCACAGATGCTTGGCTTTAGTGCCAGGAAATATTACTTTCTTCTCTTCCTATGGTGTTTCAAAAGGTGTGACCGAAGCCTGGATTTTTCCTGAATTTTAAACAAACCAGAGAAACATTAAAGCATTTAAATAGCTTACTAATATTACTGTATCCACATTTTTTTTAGATTGCGAGAAGATGGAACTTCGGGGTCTTTGCCGAAGGACCCCCTAGCGAAAAAAGGACTGGGAAGTTGTCGAGCTCATGCAGCTGTTTGCGGAGTACAGAACTCTACGGCCAGAGCAAAAACACCCCATCATCCCTCTTCAGCCCCACTGTGTGTTTCTTAATGCTGCCCTTGGCAGCAGGAGTCTGACGTTTCAGAGGTGAGTTGCAAAGAGCCAAACCACGCTGCAGTGCACTGCAGCCTGACATAACTGTGGCTGCCAGCTTTTTGTTTAAAAATGCCATCAGCTTAACAGTAACTGAAAAAGTAATTATTCTCTAGTTTCACAGAGCTATTAAGGAAAAAAGAAAGTCCATTGAAACTCCAGGAGATGAAATACTGTACTTTCAGGAACTGTTAGAAATCTTTCCACATGCAGAGCAGAAAAACATACATTTGTTTTTTAAGAAGGAGATTTAAGAACTTTGCTGAATGGAAAGGGAGAGAATTAATCTCGGTTGCAGAACACATAGTTTGGATCAACAGAGTTCTTCAAGCCCTGCTTCAGTGAGACTCCTTCTATTATTCTGGAAACTCAGCGCCATTTGTCACTAGAGTATTTTTGGTTTAGGGACTTGCACCGTGTATGGAAGCCCTGTGTTACAAAAGTAGTGATATTACCATATCAAAGAAACTTCAAGTTACTTTGAACTGTGAAATGCTGTCAGTTACTCTAACGACGAAACATTTCATTATAATCTGTCAGTAAATGTTAATGAGCATGTAATTAGCGTGGAGATGTTAAGAATTGGTGACCAGGACAGGGATATTAAAGAAGCAGCCAGTACAAGAGATTTCTACCTGCAATAACCTTCCCAATTTCATTGCAAAGACAGAACATATCACCCACATAACAACTGAGGAGAAACTGAGTTAATATGAATTTGAGAAAAGTGATAAGGAATGGAGAGATTTTGCAAGGTTATGGGGATTACAGACTGTTTTTAGAGATACCAAGTTTAAAACTCAGAAACTGGGGGACGGCACTCCGCATCTTATTTGCTAGGTGACTTTAAACAGGTCTCTCTGAACCACAGCTAAATAGAATTGGGAAGTGCTTCGCAAACCATAAAAGACTGATCCAATATATCGGTTATTATTCAGATGACCTCCTGCAGCTTTTGAATTCATTCAAAATGACTGCATTTTGAGTGGATTACAAATATGCAAGCACATTTTTAATGCTAATATTTCTTGACAGTTTTATAAAACCTTTAAATGAACCTGTTTAATGAGGTGTATTACTTGATGACCTTAAAAATGTGTAAACAAAAAAAAAAGGAAAAAAAAGTCAAACAGGTGGAGACGTACTGCTAAACAAACTAATCCTGTCACCACTTCATGAAAAAATAAACTACTCACTTTTAGATGCCTGAAAGCTAAAATAAAACTGTTTCACTACCACAAAAAGTAATATTTTAATCTACTGATGATGATTACAGTAGAGAATTTTTTATTTAAAAATCTAGAAAGCAGTAGTGAACACCAAAAATAGTTCTTTTGTTGGTTATTTGCACAGTTTTAGATTTCATTTGCTGAAAAAAAGAAAAGAAAGACAATAAAGAAAATAAAGTCTACATTAAAAAACAGAATAAACTGGAGTGGGCACAAGTAGGTTTGCAGTTGTAACAAATAAATGATACAATAACTAGTAAATAATAATATAAAAGTAAACTCAGTTTTGTGTACTCACAGTTGTTAGCTTACATTTGTCACCACTGTATTTCATAAGAGGATTTATCGTACAACCTTTAACTGGTACACTTAGAGCAGAGAATTTGTAACTAGAGAACTAAAGTATACCGATGACTTCGCAGCTAGACTTTTCTAACAACTGCTATTTATTCTGGAAGCATATGAGGAAACAGATCTAAACATCGCAGAAGCAAATGAGCACTTTGAAATTGTATGAGTTACACCGTAAATATGGGGCAAAAATAAAACATAAATGAAAAAGCAGTTCTTCTGGGAACCCTTCCTTGGCCACATCTTTGTTCGCTCAATCTGCCAACGCATTAAAGAGAAGCATGTCTTGGTTGCCTTCTAAGCCCCGAATTGACTGTGATTCTTTTTCTATGACGGCGTCTCCTAGAACAATTGCAATGGAGCTGGTATAACCCCTGGAACACAAGAGGTGTGGATCAGCAATATGGTGGAAAAATGCAGTGTGCAAATAGTGTCCCCAATACTACTGTGTTTACTTACAGTCCTGTCCATTGCTGTGACCGGTCCACTTAGGAAGCCAGGAACTATTTCCAAAGGCAGCATGGAGATCATAGCCAAAAGGCAAAGATAGCCCCAGTGAAGGCCTTGAATGTTGGGATTTAGTTACAGACTTGAGAGGTAAATCCTCTTTGTGTCAATGGCCTATTCACGGTTGACACACTCTCAAATGTGTCTTACAGCTCTTTCCATTTGTATCACAGACTAGATAGATTTCATTAATTACTTCAATTATTCACCCTTCTTTGTATCCACTCTCTTTGCCCTATGACTTTGCAATTCCTTCCACAATAGATGATTCTGAGTTCAGCAATATGACCTGCTCTAGCCCGGAGAAGGGGATGGGGTCGATAGTGGGCCTGGGCTTCAAGAGGCCTTGCGTGTTTCTGCTTTGTCCTGTATGCCTCTGTCCCAGTCCTTGGGTCCCAGGAGAAGGTTAGACAACAGAGAAGAGAGCTCCACTCAGGGACTCCAACCCAACCCAGATAGCCAAGGCTAGGCTGGCTGCATACATGCAGTTGAACTAAAACGCCTTTTCCTCGTCTTGTCTGGATCCATCGACCCTGCAAACTTGTGAGAAATAATAAGTGCTTGCTATTGGAAGCCATTCAGTTTGAGTGCTTGTTACACGATAGTTTTTAAAGATTTTATTTATTTCTAGGGAGAGGCAAAGAGAAGGAAAAAGAAAGGGAGAGAAACATCGATTGGTTGCCTCTTGAACGTGCCCCCACGGGAGACTGAACTTGCAACTCAGGCCCGAGTCCTGACTGAGGATCAAACCAGCAACCCCTTGCTTTGTGGGATGATGCCCAACCGACTGAGTCACACCAGTCAGGGCAACATTTTTATTTTTCTTTGTTGTGAGCAATAGATAAATGATAAAAGTAGCTAATCTCAGGATTATATTCTTTCATATACTTAGGGCCTCTAAAAAAATGAATGCTTTTAGCATGTATAAGTTTACATCTAGACATTTGTTTTTTAAAAATTGTACATAAATTGTGTTGAATCTCAAGAGATAATACAAATGTAATTGAATTAATTGATTAATCAAATGCAAAATAAGGAAAGTTTCAGTGTTCTGTTTTACACTAATAAACAGAAAGGAAGCTCTCCAATTTCCATATTCCATAAAACAATATAATTATGGTTAGAATTTTGCAAAATATATACTTATATATATCAGTATATATATATATATATATATATATATATATATATATATATACTTATATATATCCTGCCCTTTGAATTTTTTAAAGAAAATGAAATACATTTCTTCATTCAACATCTTCTATGCATTTTTGTGCATGTGAATGAGAACACAATTTTTGTTTCATATTTGTAATATTAACTACTACCACCTAAAATTATCACAAGATTTAAGAGTATCCAGTGATTATTTTTCTCTTAAGAAAAGTTAATATAAATTTGTCTTGTTTGATGGGTGGAGTATAAGACCCAAGAAGCCATATTTTCCTCTTTTGTGTGGGCCTTTTTCAATGTCCTTTTCCTTTTCACTTTGGTATCTCTCACCAAGTTTGAGGGCAAAAGTTAACAAGCACACGGCATTATTTAAGGTGTCAATGAACAACTTAGTTCTCTGAAGAGATATTAAAAGGGTAAGCTAAATTTGTTACAGTGCCCTGATCCATATTTCTTTGCTCTAATTATTTAAACCCCAAATCAGAGAGTTAAAAAAAGTAAAATAGTTTTTAATCACTCTGGCAGTCACTTTTTACCTAATCTGTCTCTTTTTTTCTGTCTTTGTCACTCTCATCCTCCACCATATCTCATATTTTTACCCCGAGCTTTCTCTTGTAAATACACTAGCACATAAACTGCAACGTACAAATGCAGATATGAGCCTTTACTGCAGGAAGGTGTCCCTCATCGCAATGAACATGAATGAGATTTTTAATAAGTGTTTGTTCTGCAATGAATGGATGTTGTCTTGGTATAATTGGTCCAGGATTCATTTTGAAAAGTCTTTGTGTTACTACCAAGCTCAATCCTTCTCTATTCACACACTTCTTGAAAACATGATAAATAGGGTAGAACACTGTCAAAATATTTGAGGTGTTGCAACTAAAACTTTAGCCTATATTTCTTAAAGTTTTAGTGACATTTCAAAATGAAACACGACAAGAATAATAGAGATATCATTGTCTTTCATGGAGACATCACATGCATGGATTGCATTCCTCAATTTTATAAGAGCAACAACCAAATTACATAAGAATTCTAAGACAGCTTTTTCTTTTTCTTTTTCGGTAGCAGACAAACAACGTGCGATTTTGTGATTTTTACTTTTTCTTAGGCAAGGCTTTGGAAATGTCCATTTTACTATTCTGGTCTTAAATTCTCGAACACAGAAATTCTACAGTCTTGTGAAAGCATGCCAGATGAGATTTAAAACCGTGTTGCGCACTGGACATTGGACACTGGCAGTTGGAATTAATCAGACCACCCTACTTGAATGAAATGAAAGCTGTCTGACCAGATAACACCTCGGTGCTGTATCTGTGTAGCCGTGGAAACATCAGAGACCTTCTAAATCTAGAAGATCAAGTGATGGCAGCTTAGACTAAGAGCTATGGGATCTCATGCGTTATAATGCAGCTGAAGAAGCACCTCTATGAATACAGTGGAAATGGTCCAGCAACCAGGATTCTTTGAGGAGGTGGGAATAGATTACCTAAAGTTTATTGAAGTTGCTCCAATTTTTACCTATGTGTTTTGTCTTGTTTTTCTTTGAAAATTAGAGTCAGAAACATCTGTATATCCTTTACCATTGTACTTGTAAATTATAGGAAAATCCAGAAGTAATAAAATTTTGAGTAAACCTAAGTAGGTGTATTTTAACTATATAATAAATGTGTTGCTAGGTAGTGCTTGTAGAATTGTAAAAGTTAATTTTTTGTTGTTTATTTAGCTACAATTCTATTTTATTTGTTTGCTCGTTCGTTCATTTTTTGGTGGTGAGTCTAAGATTCGCAATATGCATCTTTAATCTCCCATAGACTAACTTCAGATAATATTGTAGCGCTTTGCATACAATGGGGAACCCACTGCATTAAACTTCTAACCTACCTCTCATCCCATCACTTGGGCTGTGTTTTCATACCTGTTGCTTCACTTTCTATGTAGTTTACAAAGTCCACAATGTGTTGTTATTATTTTGCTTTAAAAATCTATTATTGTAAAAGGTTTTAAAAACAAAAGAGAGTATTTTGTATTTGTCCACGCATAATATTTCTTTTTTTATTCATTCCCTTATGAAGATTCAAGTTTTTGTCTAGTATAATTTTCCATCAGCCTGAATAAACTCCTTTGACATTTCTTACAGGATTTGTCAGCTGGTGGCTGATTCTCTCCATTCCTTCTGGAAAATGTCTTTGGTATTTTGAAGGCAATGTGTTGCTGGATACAGAATTGCTCTTGTTTTTCAGCACCTTAAAGGTGCCTTGTCTTGTTTTCCTTAGTTCTGATAGAGTTGACAGTATCTCTCATCTTTGTTCTTTGATCTGTGGTTGCTTTCAAGAATTTCTATTTATAATTGGTTTTTGACAGTTTGATTATAATGTGAGTTAGTGTGTTCTTCTTAGCATTTATTTTGTGTGAGGTGTGTGGGGTCTCTTGGATCTATAGGGTATTTTTTCATCCAAAAAGGGAATTAGCGATGGTGGGAAGCTGCAGACACTGTGGAAGAGTTCGTATTTTCAGAAGTAGAATCAAGGTGGGGTTTCTTGGCAGGAGCGGGATTTAGTAAAGGAGAGATCCTTTGATATTCCCATTCCTACTCCCGAATCTTCTACCAGTACCTCTTGCAGGCTGAACTTAATCCGAAGTCGGAGAGCCTAAGGAAATGTTGACACCTGGCACCCACGGCAGAGGATGAGAGGGCTGGAAACAGCTGTGAGCAACCCAGCAGATGACCCTCACAGCAGGGTTTCATTCTGTCTTGGTCACTCTGGAATTTCCCTCCCTTAGAAGAACACTTGGGCATGTATTTGATGAATGAATGAATGAACACATAAATGAACAATTATTTCTACACTCATGTTTTATTATTGAGGAAACTGAAGTTCTGGAAGGCCTCACAAGTTAGTCAAGTAGTTGGTTAAAAATCAGAACTTAATTGTGGATTCTTTGATTTATATTTTAGTACAGCCACTACTTCTGATTTCTGTGAAATGAATTACATTTTAAATGTGTACTAGAACTCTCTAAAAACACTCTGTGCTGAACCCTTTTGTACAACTAAAAATCCTTTAACTTAGATTTTCCCTAACTTTTATTAGGTCGATTTTTCAAGTTCCAGTTTGTCTCCAAGCTTTCTGGACGATTTCTATTGCTAGGAGGTTTTATATAACACGTCTATTTTGAAAGTGCAGAGCATTACACAAACGTAGCTATTCTTCATTTTGGTAGAAGGGTCAGAATGATGTAAAAGAAAGGGGAGGCCTTTGGGATCTGATAGGACTACATGGTGATCCAGGATTTACAACCTAATAGCTGCTTGACTTTAGACAAAACACTCAACTTCTCTGGTCCTTGGTTCCCTCTTCTATAAATTGGGACCAATATCTACTCTCCTCAGAGAATGATAAGAGTGAAAATCGATAATGAATATACTGTGCCAGTGTATTTGTTGTTGCTCAGCTGCGAATTTCCCTTTCTCCAGGCCAGCATTTACTGTTCAGGACAAAGTCCAGTTCCATGGTGGTGGTGGGGGGGGGGCTGCAGACAGAAGTGTAGGTTGGAATGTCTGAGAGCACAGCAATAAAGACTCCATTGTCAAATGAGAGCTAGTGAGAACAGTGGCGTGAATAGCAGGTAAAGGTACTGTGAAAGGTTGATAGGAGGCGATAAGAAAGCACCTGAGATACATTTACTCCTATCTTGTGTTTCCTAAGATAATGATCATTTTTATTAATGAGGACAATCAAGTAATTTTTTAGTGGAAACTGGAGTCATAAGAAAGAGAATCATTGTGGTACTTCCAGTGCCTATCCTTGGCACCACTAAAGCTACGTCCTTCTTTAAAACAGTTTTATTGAGATATGAATAACAAGGCACATAATTCACCCATTGAGCTATACAGTTTAATGGTGGGCTCCTAGTAAATACAGAGCTGTGCATCTGTCATCAGAATCAATTAGAATATTTTTATTACCCCCTGAGAAACCCTGCAACCTTTAACCATTACTCTCGAGTACCCTCTGGCCCGATTGCCCCAGCCCTGGGCAACCACTAATCTACTTTTTGCCTCTACAGATTTGCCTATTTTGCAGAATGTTTCACATGAATGGAATTGTATCATATTGTGGTTTTTGTCTGGCTTCTTCCACTTAGGGGCAGGGTTTGAGCATCATGGAGAAATTGAAGACAATGGTTACAGTAACCTGCATGACATCTCCAACTTTTACTCTGGATTACAGGCTGATGACAGTGGTTATGAAGAGTTGATGACTTATTTGGGGGACCAAGTGGAACCTTTGACCTGACCCTTACCCTTGCCATGCACCTAAGACAACACAAGAGAATGGCAATGTGCCTAAAGTCCAAGGATTAGACTTCACCACTTATGAAGAGTCAAATCTGGTAGCTGAGCCTCAGAAGGTAAATAAAATTGAAAGTTATTATTCCAACACTGCCAAAAATGGGCATGAAGAAGTTGATGCAGAGCATGAGGAGTTTGGGGGCAGAGTTCTGCAAGCAAGCAGACATGGAAGTAAATCGCAGTGAAACAGGGAAAGAAAAGGACTGGGTGGAGGTGGATGAGAAGATGCTCAGCAGGGGCGGAGAATCTTGTGAGGCAAGAGGATTGAGATCACTGGGGAGACGTCAATAGCTGAGGACCCTTTATTTCTTCAACCAGGACGTCTCCACGGCAGGTGTCCACTCTGGCTGCCACAATCCTGTGGCTTGTAGCAAAGCTGTCGCCAACTACCAAAGTACCTATTTGTTTCTCTTCCCTTCTCTCTCCTTCTCAGCCTGGGAACCAGCACCCTAAAGCTCTGTCCTTGATTAAAGTTTTCTGCCCTGTGATGCCACATAAGAAAAATGTAAGGGTGGGGATACTGTTCTCAATCACAAAAACCTAAATCCGTTCTTTGTATCCATGTGTAGTTTTAGTCTCCTGAGTCGATCTGTATTGTCCACACTTTGGTCTTGTAGAAAATAATTTTCCTGTAGGCAGCTGTGTAAGGATGGCTTACATAGCTGTCCTAATCCACGTACGTAAAATAGACCCTATATGCCCTTATAAATGCTTATACAATGCTTGGAAATAAAATCTAAGTAGTAAAAAAGTAGATTTGCCCTTTCTGAATATTTAATATAAATAAAATGTCACAATAATGTAGTGTTTTGCGTTTGGTTACTTTCACTTAGGCAAATGATTTTGAGTTTCCCTTTGCTGTAGTACCTACATTTTTATGGCTGAATTTGCTGTATTTTTGGATGCATTCCATCTCACTGTGTTTTCAATTTCCACTGGATTCTCCTATGCTGACGTATGAATGTCGAAGATGGAAAGAGTCCTTGGCAATTATTAATTTGACCACTTCTCAGTCTTGAAGAAATGGAAGTCCAGATCCTTTGAGTGTCTGGTGTTACACTTTTACCTGCGTACCAGAGGACGCACATCCAGCCTCCACGCTCTACCTGTACAAGGCTTTTTTCACTTAACATCGACCCTAAAATGACAGCTTCTCACTTTCAGTAGCACTTAGTTAGTAAAATGCTTTCATACACACGAACTCATATCTGCATACAAAAGTGGTTTGGGTAAATATATAAGAGAGAGCTAGATACTAGAAGCATGAAGTATAATTTCTGACCAAAATTGTCCTAAATGGACTTCCCAGATAGCCCTTGGAAGATGGCAAATGTGCGATGCCTGCTAAGTCTCATTGACCACGTACTAAGCTGCAAATATCATGACAGTCTGTCCTTACAATCCCTCACAACAACAGCTATGAGAACCTCCAACAGTCTTTATTTTGTTTTATTTTTATTCAATTTATTGGAGTGACATTTATTAATAAGATTGTATAAGTTTCAAGCGTATGCGATGCAAGGTCTGTATCCTGCGCTGCGCACTCACCGCCCAAAGTCAGACCATCTTCTGTCAACCATCTGGACGGCAGTGAGGAAGGGTTTCCGTGCGAACGAAGTGGTTCTGCTTTAGAGCTTAGATGAGGATGCCTAAACCTTCCCTCCCAAAGCAACCCAGAACACATACTTATATGCAATTTCTGAAGTTTAATGTCAGTACTCGTGGAATATAAGCTGCAGAATCAAATGCTGTTGGTCCAGCTTTTAGGAACCCCAGTGTGAATCGTGGTGAAGTCCTTTCAAACCCAAACGTTAACATCTTATTTCCTTTCTTAAACTTCTTTTCATCTTTTCTTCCATTCAATAGCTGCGTGACTTATTATGCCATTACTGAACTGTTCTCTGACCTCATTAACGTTTTATCTCCCCTAAAAAATGTTATAAGAGAACCGTCTGTTCATTATCTCTGCCACCTAGGACTAAAGTTTGCCTTTTTCAAACACATCTACCCTGAAATGTCGAAGGATTACACACATGCTTAGCGACTTCCCCGAACGTGCTGGTTCTCGTTAGAGATTCACGCGATCTGCTCTTTCACACATCACGATTCCCCATGCAGGAGATGGCCCAAAGCAATAACTGCGTTTGAAAAAAAAAAAACAAAACACACAACTAAGTCATAAAATTCTAGAACGTGACACTCAGTAAGCTATTCAACAGGGTACAGCTACAGGGAGGAGGTCCTGGTTTATTCCAGTGTTTTGACATTTACAAAATTGATTTTTGCGAAGAGTGGCAGGTAATTATTTCTGGAGTGTTTGCTGCACTAATTAAGAATTTGAAAATGAAACCACTACATTTTCAAATAATAAGAGCAGCAGAGAAACTGAAATGATAAAAGGCACATGTCAGACAAACTTTAAGATATATCAAGAAACATAATATTTTAATAATAGTATAATGATTAAAATAACATTACTTATATGTTTTATGAGCACTTCACATTTATCATAATGCCTTAATAGCTCTGTTTTCCATCCCAAATACCCCCATTTCTACTCTAACTTAAGGAAAATAATGTGATATCTTAAACCAAAGAGAATTTAAAACACCATTTGGTTTGAGAATCATCTTTCTTCTGGGGTACTTAGAACTCAACCAAAATGTTTTTTTGTCTTTTTTTTTTTAGTTTTCTATAAAAAAATTATGCTTTCTATAAAAGCGTAATTCATATCAATATGTGGGGAGGGTGTAGGAGGGTTTTCTTAGACATTAGTAGCCCACCACATGTACCCTTACATGTATATGCCTGTGTATACGTGTAAATACATAGCTCTATCTATATTGACCTTCCTACTACTGGGCCAAAAAAACAAAGAAAACATTCAGGTTTCATTTCATTTTATGACTCTCTTGTGGGTTGGAGTCGGAAAATGTCTCTTTCTTTTTACTAATTAGAGTTTGTTCTTCCTCATTGATAAAACCTTGAATTTCAGATGGGCACGTGACCACTCAGCATCCAGATTGTATCTGTCTTCTCCCTTGAAGTACATAGCAGTAATATGTGCAGTGCCAGAGCCTTTTTTAGGAGCATGCTCCCTCTTTCTATTTGTCTTCCGTGCCGGCAGGATGAACCAGCCCCCGCCCCTCTGGGGTGGGAGGTACATGTCCCCAGCAGTGAAGAAACACAAGTCGAGGTTCCCGATGACTACGGAGCTCCCACACCACATTGGACTGACTAGGGGTGTGTGATAAACAAATACTGTCCTTTCACATCTAAATATTCACCAAGTTCGGGTAGTCTTCTCCATAATACTTGGTGGGTTGGTCTCCTCTTTACTCTATCTGAATTCAAGTACTCAATCTCTCACCTATGTTCTTGTAAAGATTCCAAATTGCTTTTTCTACTTTCAGTTCCTTGCTTCTGCTATTGCCTTCTACATGCTGCCTCCAATTTTCCTACTTTAAGAGGCTCATACTAAGATCAAAAGACAGATTAGAGGTACGCAAAGGAACCCGGAATGAGACCAATGGATCTGGTCCCCATGTCTAGGTTATGTGTCAGATAACGCTGTGGCTTCTACCCCTGGACATAGCATTTTACCTGAAATCGCTTTTTAGAAATTCAGTACAACTCGGAATTCCTATGACCAGCCACTAAGAATGAATAGAGGACATAAGACATAAACAATATTGCCAGCACCCAAAATCACTTCCAATAGAAAGTCATCCTGACTAACATTAACTTATAAAATCCTTCTGCTGCTGCAAATGCTCTATGATGAACAGTTATTACCTTTGTTCACATAGGCAGATTTTGTGTATTACACCTACTTGAAATATTCTATACTTTTCCATAACAACCCACAGTGAAACAGTACACTAAAGAAACATACTTAATTGAATTAACTATCTTCTAATTGATGGAGAATTAAAATATTTTCTTTCTGAAAAAGAATGTCTTTGGTTAGAGATATTAAATAACTTATGAGTCTAGTTCAGTGATACAGGTAGATAACATATGATTTGGATTCTTATGCCTGTGCTTTATTTATCTGATCCAAAAGGTAACTCCAAAGTGAAATAAATTATTTCTTTAACTTGATTTATAACTCAGATCACAAGAGAATATTTTATAATCACAAATGAAAGATGATCATAGTCCTTCCCAAAACTCAACTAAAATCAGACGAAGCAAAATGGCTGCTTCAGAATGAAGAGAGACAAAAGCACAGTATTATGTAAATAAAATGCCATCTACATTAAAATATATAATCCACAATGAGACACTATTGAATTAGAAAAGCTGCACACTCCATAATGCTCAGTCTAGTTATTGTAACTAAGTTTTAAAACAGAATTTGACTATGAAGACATTTTTTTCTTTTTGCAAGCTCCATCTTTGTAACCCATTGTCTGTAAAAAATTCTTTATTTAGCTAGTTGGCAGCCTTCTGTTCTGTGAGGTATTTAACATTTAAGTCTTATCAACTTGCTTCTAATGCGCCACAAAGGAATGACTGACTAATACCTCTAAACTATGACAATGGTGTCCTTTTTTGAAAGGACCAAGCTACCATTAGAAATGGGTCATGAAGCAAAAGTCATTAACTCATTTTAAAAAGGGCAGAGCCCAACAAAGCATTCCTGACAAAGCTCCCTTCTCTTGTCCATTTGTCTTTATTAGATATCACATTTAATATCTATCTCCATGCATGGGATAGCATTCTGAAACATCTCCCTATTAAAAAGTTAAAATCATGAGAGATTAAATTTACTTTCAGGTTTTTATGTAGAAAGAGCAAGTGAATTGTCTTATACAATTTTAAGTAGGAATCTAACTATCAAACCTCCCCAGTAATAAAAATAATGATTCCAATGCTTCTACTTGGAAAACACTTATGAACTCTTGAAGGAAGAAAATTCAGTTCATAGAGGCAATTGAAATAGAGGCAGATCAAGGTAGGGTCTTTTATATCTTCCATGAAGTTAGTAGCAAAAGGCAACAAGAAATCGATATTCGCCTCTTCTCTACTTACTAAATAAAAAATATTAAAAATT